GTCGAGATCAGTCAGGGTGTGAGCTGAAGGTGGAAGGGGCGGTGGCACTACTGAGACCATGGATCTGCCCTCCTAGCTATCGTACGGGACAGACTGGGATAAATCTATCAAAGTATCAGGAGAGGGTGTGAGCCATTCTGCTATTTGTGCCATAGCAACAAGTAAATGAATGCACAGCTCCCAGAGAGGGGATGTGTGGGAAGGCCTTATTAAAAAGGTGGCATTGGGCCCTGGCCGGTGTTGCTCAGTGGTTGAGCATTGGCCCATGAACCAGGAGGTCACGGTTCGATTCCCAGTCAGAGCACATGCCCGGGTTGCGGGTTCATTTCCCAGTAGGGGGCGTGCATGAGGCAGCCAGTCAATGATTCTCTCTCATCATTGATGTTTATATTTCTCTCTCCCTTTCCCTTCCTTTCTGAAATCAATAAAAATATATTTTAATAAATAAATAAATAAAATGTTGTTTGTATGTGGATGCCAGTCAAGAGAGGCCACGGAGCCTTGTGCTTCTATGGCATAGCTATAGGCTTAGTTTTTGGTCGGTGATAACCGAAGATTGCTAAATGCCGGCTTCTAGGACTCCAGGAAGCGCTGTATGCTGCTGTGGACTTGAGCCATCTGGGGAAGCCCACAAAAGAAGGCAGTCACCTTGAGTCGGCATTGTCTTCGACGCATGACATTGGTCTGGTCTCACCTGTCTTATTCTCCTTACATTTTAGTGGGAACCACATTTTCAAGGGCCGTGCAGCCGGCATAGCTGTGAATGAGAATGGCAAAGGCCTCATCACAGGTAGGTGGGGATGCTGGAGCCTGGCCAATCAGGTAGTGGGCTCTGCCTCACCCGCACCCACCCCCCGCATCCCGCCCCCAGTCCTTCACCGGGACAGACTGGCCTCCTGCTAGTAGTGGGTAACTCGGCGATGCTGGCTCAGTGCTTACAGGATCTCACTGGGTGGCTGGCATCATGCTGTCAGGAACATTGATGCCACACAGAATGTCTAAAGTCCTCCTCTTGGCTTTTGTACGGGCTCCTGCCTGCTCTGGAAACCCATCCCCATTTCCCTTCCCCTCTGCCTGGCCAACTCCTGCTCACCCTGCAGGTCTCAGCCTGGGTGTCGCTTCCTCGGGGAAGCCTGCCCAGACCTCCTCTTATACACATACTAGTATACACTCACTGTACCCAGGAGCCCTGCTCTCTGGGACCAGGAGTCGGGGACACAGCACTGAACGACACAGACACCATCCCTGTTCCAGGAACTGACATTTTAGGAGGGGGAAGCAAGTAAATAAATAAAAGCATACATATGCAAGCAGGCGAAGGCCTATTGGAGGATGATTCGTGCTCTACAGATAGTTAGAATAAGGAGCTAGAGGGACTTTGTGGCATTTAGATTGTGTGGTCAGGCAGCCCTTTCTGAGAAGGTGGCTTGTGAGCCAGAACCTGGATGATGAGAAGGACCCTGGGAAAAGGACTGGGTTCCATGCAGGGCCACCTGTGGGAACAGACCTGGCATGCCCAAGGCACAGGGAGGTCACGTGTGTGACTGGAGTGTGGTGGACGAGGTGTGAGGGTTTGAGATGGGGTCACAGAGGCAGGACAGGGCCAGTCACACAGGTCTCATGAGTCATTGCCCTCTAGTCCCATCAGGCTGAGCGTCTGCCCTGCCTCAGTGCTGGCGCAGATGGTCCAGGACCACCCTCTGGCTGGGACTCGCCAGCCCACTCCTGGGCTGGGGAAGGGGCGGGAGAGGTCAGCCAGAGCTGAGGCTGAGGACAAGCTAGCGCCTCCTCAGGTTGTTGGGAGAATGGCTGGGTTCTGCCTCAGCCCTTCTGGAAACAGCGCCCCCTGCCCACCCAGGGCAGACATCCCCTGCGTGGCCTGGCTCAGGGACTCCAGTGCCCATTATTCTTAGTCATCAGTTCCCAAGGCCACTGGGTACAGTGGGAACTGGGAATGTAGGAGAGCACAGACAGACACAGAGCTTGCCTTGGGGAAAGCAGATAGCAAACAAGTCCCTGAAATGCCAAAGAAGGTTTGGGGTGCTGACTGGGTAAGCCCCGAGCTTCCTGGTCCGGATTGTCGTTCCTCTCAGCTGCCCAAGTCGTCGCTGCTAGCGTTGCAGGTGGCCTTGGTCTTGACCCTCTTACTTGCTTCTCCCTAGAAAACGTCATCCGTGAGAATCAGTGGGGAGGTGTGGACATCCGCCGCGGAGGGGTCCCCGTCCTCAGGAGCAACCTCATCTGCTTTGGCTATTCGGACGGCGTGGTCGTGGGAGATGAAGGCAAAGGGCTGATAGAAGGAAACACCATCTACGGTGAGGAGCACCTTCCGGGGGAGGGGTCTGAGGTCCAGTCCTGCCTGGGAGGCTGGAAGCCCAGGACCCTCCTTTGTGGGTCTGATAAAGTTGTAGCCTTTCCCTGGGCTTCAGAGACCCGTCTGAATGATAGCACTGATCTCGGGCCACAGTTACACAGCCCCTCTCAGCATTCAGGAGCCTCCGGCAAATCGCCATGTAATCAGAGCGATCCCGTGGGGTCAGCAAAGCAGAGAGCTTTGTCTCCATTTAAAACAGCAGAAGGCAGGAGTCGGGTGTTGTGTAAGGACAGGGCCACTTAAGCTTGGATACATGAGCATCATTTCTTGTGACCCAGACAACTGAAAGTAATAGGAGAGAAACAGGACAATCATAGAAAGCAAGCTGTTCTCACTAACTCAGACTTTGGGTTAAAGCCTTCGTCTTTCTGAACTGTGTATTTGAGGATGGTGAGCATGATAGCAGCTAACTTGTTCCGACCCAACACTGCAAGGCCCTTTCTATGCATTATTGCATTTAATCCTCATGTCTGCCTTCTGAGATAGTTAACCCCATTTTAAAGGCAAGGAAACTGAGGCATGGAGAGGTTCCATTAACGACTCAAAGTCATATAACTCGGAAGTGGTAGGGCTGAGGTTCAAACTGAAGCCGCCTCTGTCTCTTCAGGGAGGGGTGGGGCTAGATGAACTCCGTGACCCCTTTGGCCCTGTCACTATGAGCTTCTGTGCTTCTGATCTGGAGTGTGGCCTTGACGTTTCTCAGAACACTTTTACACCCGACAGAATGATCCTAGTTGAAAGATGATCCTGACTGTTACTTGCCCTCTCGTATGAAGGAGCCTGCAGCCAGAGCCATACAGTGACTTGTCCCAGGCCTTTAGCAAGTCAGGGACTCTGTGGCCCGGGCCAGTGCGTTTTTTGCTTCCCCTCGTGGGAGACGCTGGAGGCTGTCACCCTTTGCTGTGTCGGTGACCAGCTGCTCTCACTCTCCCAGCTAATAAGGGCTGTGGTGTGTGGATGATGTCGTCCAGCCTGCCCCACGTCACCAGCAACCACGTCAGCTACAATGGCCTGTACGGAGTGGCGGTGTTTAGCCAGAAGGAGGGCTCCAGGGAGCTCCCTGGAGGCCATGGGGCCCAGGAGAACTTCAGCGAGGATGGGGATGCCATCCTCTGGGAGCCCGAGCTGGAGAAGGACGACGACCCGCTGCGCCAGCCCGTCACCATCGCGCTTGTGGAGTCCAACAGTATTAATCACAACGGAGGTGAGTCCCCTCGCCCTCCGCCCCTGCTCCAGAGCCGTCGAGGTCTCACGCCTTAATGGCCCTTCACGGGCTCCCCTTCCAGCCCTCCGGCCTCACTGGCCACTTCTTTTGTCCACTCACCCGATACCCCAGTCCCCAGACTTGAATCCACCCTTTCTTGTCCCCCAGCCCCCGACTTTGCTCATGCTGCTTCTCTTGCTTGAAATTCCCTTCCTCCCGTTCACACAGCCCGGACAGCACGAACCTCAGAGCCACCGGCGACGCACCAGCACCCTCTCCTCCTCTGCACCGTGCCCTCCCCACCCCAGTGGCACGTGTTAGGGGGACTTGTGTCTGGAGCTGTTTCATCAACTCTGATAGGCTGTGAACTTGAGGCAAAGACGGAATCCCACCCATGTTGGTGCCCTCTCCCCTGCAGTGCCAAACCCACACCTGGCGGGCACATTGCTAACCAATTCTGAGACACATTTTTCACATTTTAACATCTTTGATGAGATGTGTCTTCCAATTAATGGCATATCATGGTTTAATTGGCAATGATTTTTCTTAGCTGTATAGAAAAACAAGTGTGTTTTAAATCTGATATCTTTCATTTAACAAAAAACGATGATAGTAGGTATTTCATGTTTATTGAATTAAAAACAAAAAAAAACAAAAACGAAACTTACTGTGGAGTTATCTAACTCCAGGACTCCTAACTGGGCTGATTATCAGAAGCACTGTTGAGCGGCTAATGGAGGAAGGCTTGTTAAAAAGAGGCTTAAAAAGAAGTTACCACATAGAAGCATCGAACAGACCATCCAACCTCAGAAGGAAGGCAGGAGGCGGGGTGGTGGTAAGAGAGCAACTTAAAGGCCTTGTATGCCTGCATGTAAGCATAACCCATGGAAACAGTAGGGGACTCAGGGCACGTGCTAGGGGTGGGAATGGTCAGGGAGAGGTCAGTAGGGCGAAAAGGGGACATATGTAATACTTTAAACAATAAAGGGAAAAAAAAGAGGTTACCAGGCCTGGTAAGCTCATTCCTCTGGGTGGCAGAGTCAGGGAAATGTGTGGCCACCTGTGTAGGACAGGAAAAGCTGCATGTATCCACAGATTCTTCATTTATATTTGCTGTTCTCAACCAAGCAGGAGAAGCAACAGGCAGGTACCACCAAGAGATTTGAACTCGCAGCGCAGATTGCTCCCATGTGACCCCATCGTCGGCCTCCCCGCACTCCTCCCGCACTGCCCCGGACCGCTTGCTCTGGTGGTGGCTGGAAGTCCCTGGGAGTCCTCCTCCTCACCGGGTCCATCTGCCGTGCTGTCCCTTCCCGACCATGTTGGCAGCTCTGAGCCTGCTCATTTTGTGCTTTTTTTCTACGAATATCCCAAACAGCTTTTTCTTTCCAAAATTTCTAACACATTTTAGACACATATTACTTACTTTAGTCAATTTTTTTATTCAAAAATTATAGAATTTCCCATATAAACAAATTTCTCCAAACAGTAGGGAGGCAGATTCTAGGTCAGTATGGGAAAGAAAACAAAACAGCAACTTTCCAGCAGGTAGGCCTGTCTGGAGTTGGAAGGGGTGGTGAGGGCTCCAGCACAAGAGGTGCACGTGGCGGTAGAACTGTGACGTAGGTGGCGTTCAGTACAGGATGGGAGCCTGGGCCAGACGACCAGCTGAGCCTGCGGAATCTTGCATCCCGTTTCCCTGGCACCTTTAATGAGGACTCATTTCAGGAGGAACAGCATTTTCTTGATGTTCCCAGGTTTCCTCCTGCTCTGGGTGTCAGCCCGCTTGGAAGCTGCAGCTCCCAAGGGCTGGTTCTGAGTGTTGCTCTCTCTTCCCTGCCTCTCTCCTGGGGGCACAGCTCCAGGAAGGCTTTTCCGACTGGTGCTGTCAGGGCTGACCCTGGGACCACCCTGTGCTTTCTCTGCTCCCCACCCTCCACCTGCAGCCTCAGGACTCTACATCCAGAGCAGTGAGGCACTGCACGTCATCACCAATGTGATCCACGCTAATGGGGACAGAGGCATCACTGTAGCCCAGAGCAGCCAGCTCACCCGTGTGGCTAACAACAGCATCTCCTGCAACCGCCAGAGTGGGGTCAAGGTCGAGATCCAGTGCAAGGTAGAGCTTCGGGGCAATGGGATCTATGACAACAGAGGCCACGGCATCATCACTAAGGGTGACAGCACCGTCGTCATCGAAAATGACATCATTGGCAATCGGGGCAGCGGGCTGCAGCTGCTGCCCAGGTCTGACACTAAGGTGAGTGAGTGTGTGTGTGTGTGTGTGTGTGTGTGTGTGTATCCCATGGCACAGCCCTGGGAAAGCTTTCTTGCCTTCTCAGCCTGGAAGACAAAAATGGGACTTCACACAAGAGGGGACATATAACTGGACCCTGAAGGATGAATCAGAGTTACCAGCAGGAAGCTAGGGTGGGGGATGCCCCCTGGGGTATCTTCTGGGTCTCCAGGCTAAGGTCAGGGCTGTTCTAGATTTCTGCTCACAGAATAATCTCATACAGGACCCGGTATGTGCTATTCCCTGTAGACCCAGGACACTTTCCCCCCTTTTTCTCTCAGTCCTACAGCTTGGCTATGGCTTTTTTCAGGAAGCCCTCCCTGAGCCCCCAGACTATTGAGGCACCCCTTTTCTGGACTCAAAGGTGCTTATGCCCACCCCTACCTCACAGAGCACTTCCCACGGTGCTTTGTAAATGTTCCTTTGCTCGTCTGTCTCCCAATGGGACAGTGAGCTCTGAGCTTACTTTTTATGCAAAGCACTGTGCCGGGTGCTAGGCTTTCAAAGTTGAGCCCGTTCCTGCCCGTGTGAATCATGATCCCAAGGCCGCTTTAGCTGTGTGGCTTCATGACTAGTGACTTAGGCAAGCAGTAAAGAAGTCCTTGACTTTGAGTCTGAGCTGTGGAAGCTGTTGCCTCAGTTGGGTTTCCGTGGGCCTTGGCCTCTGGCACCACCCCGCCTCTCTGCCAGGCCTTTTCTTCTTCCTGGAACATCCCTACCTTGCTCTGCACCTGATAAACTCCTATAGCTTACCCATCACCTCTTCCAGGAAGCCTTCCCTGCTCCCCTCTCCCCCCACCCCGTTTGCTTTGATATCCCTTCCCTGAGCTCCCGTGGCTCACTGCTCACCGACCCAGCATGCTCTTACCTCCGTTTTATAACTGGTGAAACACTTACCTGGCTCCCCTACCAGTGTGACAAGCTGTCTGTCTCTTCCAGGTAATAAAGAACCGGATCCATTCATTTCGGGCCTACGGCATCGCAGTGCGGGGCCGCACCAAGGCTCTGGTGCAGGAGAACATTTTCTTCCAGGGAAAGACCAACAAGACCATCTTTCAGCAGATCTCAAACAATCGAGAATGCATCATGCAAAACAACAAGTTCTTGGTCTTCAAGAAAAAGTAAGGGCCTAGCCGAAACCGGTTTGGCTCGGTGGATAGAGCGTTGGCCTGCGGACTGAAAGGTCCCGGGTTCGATTCCGGTCAAGGGCATGTGCCTGGGTTGCGGGCACATCCCCAGTGGGGGATGTGCAGGAGGCAGCTAATCGATGTTTCTCTCTCATCGATGTTTCTAACTATCTCTCTCCCTTCCTCTCTGTAAAAAATCAATAAAATATATTTTAAAAAAAAGAAAAAGTAAGGGCCTAAACCAATTTTCTAGAACCCCGGTGAGGTCACTAGAGAAGCCAGGCCCAGTGGTTCTGGCTGCCCTTGCTCCCTGCAGTCCTGCCAGCTTTTGGCTCTGGCCAGATCAAGGCCTGGGCTGAGGAGCTGCACTTGACTGCCTGGGAGGAAACAAGCTGTCAGAGCAAGGGGTATGTAATTTCAAATCTCAGCTCTGCCAATTACTGGCTATGTGACCTCGGGCAAGTTCTCAATATCTCTGAGCCTTAGTAAAATCTAGTTAGCCCTGACCAGGTGGCTCAGTTGGTTGGAGCATCATCCTGTACACCCCAAAAAAAAAAAAAAAAGGTTGCGGGTTTGGTTCTCGGTCAGGGCATATACCCAGCTTGCAGGTTCGATCCCTGGTTGGGGCGTGTACAGCAGTAACGGATGGATGTTTCTTTCTCACATCAATGTATTTTTCTCTCTCTCTCCCCCTTCCTCTGTAAAAATCAATAAAAACATATCTTTGGATGAGGATTTAAAACAGATATAGATATCATACAGAATGTAGCCTTTTGAGTCTCTTCAGCCGAATGTCCTGAGATTTGCCAATGGTGTCGCATCTGTCGTTCCTTCTTTTTCTTGCTCAGTTGTGATGTATTGTAGGGGTATAATACATACTGGTTATCCATTCATCAGCTGTAGTTTCTAGTTTGTGGTGATTGTAAATAAAGATTCTGTCAATTTTCATGGTTATACAGCTGGAGTGGAGAGAAGGGAAAATGAAAAAGAAAAAAAGCCACTGATCTTATCCAGATCCTTATAAAGAGGGGAGATTAGGGCTGCTAAAGGGAACTTGTCCAAGATCACATGCAGAATTGAAGGCACACGTGGAACTAGAATGCAGGACTTCTGCCCTTTAGCGTCACCAGCTTGGGAGACAGAAACTACATCTAGATGTAAACACCTGCATCCAGTGAGCTTGAGCGAAAGGTCAGATTTCAAGCACTCAGTATCATTTTGCATCTCCAGGTCTGATACATGGCGGCTCATGAACCCACCAGCACGCCCTCACCTTGAAAACTCTCTCCGAGGCCCTTCCGCAGCCCACAGTGGGCAGAAGGTGACGGCCATGGCGACCAGGATCACGGCCCGTGTGGAAGGTGGGTACCACAGCAACCGCAGCATCTTCTGCACTATCCTGTGAGGATGGAGAGCAACTAGAGCGCTGTCCAGAGACTCTGGGAGCAACAACCACACACCATTCTCAGGCTCAGGCGGACAGTGCAGCTGAGCTAAGAGGTGAGGCCTTCGGGATGGCAGAGCCTTCGAGTCTGAGGAGGCTCCGGATCCCTTTCACCACGCCCCTGGGAAGCAGGCTCCTAGGCCTCCTGGGGACTAAGGACAAGGTACCTCCAAAACCCTTCAGCTCCACCACCCTCAGTAGGAAGGCACGTGAGTGCTTCTCAAAGGAAAAAGGAACAGACCTTGGGTTTCCAGTCCCTCCAGCTCCTGTGGATTATGAAGAGTTGAGGAAAGTCAGTACTGAAGCTGCGGTCAGGTTTGCTGTTTGAGTTACAGGGAGCTAACGGCATCTTACACACACCAAGCAGGCTCTCAGGGAAGAGGCGCACTCCTGAGTGAGGGGAGAAATTCTAGGGAGGTGGAGACAGCTGCCCCAGGACTTCCCCTTCCTGACTCCCTCTGTCCCTCCAGGACACCACACCCCCTCCCAGCTGCCTGCAGGGGCTGGAGGAGTTGAGTTTGGTTTCCTTAAGGACATTGTTTTATACTTAAACATGGGCCTGTGATGGACGAGGGGCTTAGGACAGGGAGCCCCTCTTAAAAGGCTGACCTAGGGATGACAAGGGACATGTGGAGAACAGGAGGGGCTTCCTTGCAGTGGCTCAGGTGCCAGGCTGGGCAGTGCAGGGACACACAACTCCCCTCTACCCGCCAGGAGCTCCCAAACTCGGGAGGACGTTGGCTTGGTGCCTGCTGCACAAGGATTCCCATCCCACAAGCACAGCCACACCAGCCGCCCCCTCCTGGGCACCAGCCTGGGAGAGGTGCAGCTGCCTAGGGCCCCTCGTCTGTGTCCGCGTTCTCACGGACAACCAGCTGCCTTTGCTGGCCCTTATGTGCCTTGGCTCATGCTCTCCCCTTCCCGGCATGCCCTTCCCTCCCTCTGTCCAGGTCCCACCATTCACATGAGCTCAGACACTGCCATCTCCACCGAGCGCTCCCCTCCCCCAGGTGGCAGAGCTCTTCCTGCTGAGCCACCCCCTTTCCCAGCCCCTCCGTACGGAGCACTTTCCGCCTGGTGGTCTCCAGGCCCGTCCCTGTCCCACTCACCCGCATAGGCCCATCTCACTGTCTCTGTTCCCAGGACCCAGCCTAGGTCTGAGGTAGGGTCTGTAGCCCGAGTGGGCAGAGGAAGGCCAGTTCCCAAAGGGCTTCACTGCGCTGTACTGTGAGTGTCAAGGTTCTAGGCGGGCTCAGACCCTGCCCTAGCTGCTTGAGAAACGGGGTTGGATGCAGGAGCCTCTGTACCTGAACAATCCCCTCCCACTCGGCCTTTCCTGCCAGGCCTTCACCAGCCTGTTGGGGTCGCTGTCGTGCACCTCACCAATGGCTTCCCAGGCTACTTCTGCCAGGCCCTCTGGTGCTGCTCTCCCAGGTCCCAGGTAGGGTGGGAGGGGGCTGGAGGGAGCCAGGAGCGCGGGCTTCTTGAGGACTTTAGGCACAAGAGCGCTGGCCTCTTCCATCCCCACTGTCCTTTGCACTTCTCTGGTGGCCCCAATGTGAGTCGCTGTACAAAATGCTGCCTTTATTATTTTGTAAGAAATGACTTTTCTGTGAACCAAGCGCTTATGAAAATCTCAGCAACTAAAATAAAGTTATATATTTTAAAAGAGGGAATTTTGGGGACTTTCCTTGGTTGGATATATGCTGGCGTTCCCAGGCAGCTGGATGCAGACTGCACCGCTCGCCTTCCTGAGGCTTCCTCTGAAGGGGATGGAATGGAATCCCAGGCCCACGCTGTCCTTCCAGGTTTCAAGGTCTGTTTCCTAGTGCATCGCTGGGGGCGGGGCGGGGGGAAGGGGGGGGGGGCGGGTGTTGCAGCCCTGCCTTCCGCCCTTGGCCTTTTTGAAGATCAACAGTAGCAGTCTTGGGTGTGGGCAGACTCAGGAACACATTCTCCCAACTTCAGTTACTCAGCATCTTAGTTTTTGCTATATCCACATGTCACCAGAGGAGAAAGTTAATACTTAATATTCTTCTTTAAACCCTCTTTTTAAAGACTTTTTTAAAGAAGTTTTAAATTTACAGAAAAAGTGAGCAGATAAGGTAGTACAGAGTTCCCATATTACCCTCCTCCCCAAGTTTCCCTAACATCTTACATTAGTGTGGTACATTTGTCAATTAACCAATACTGAACACATTATTATTTACCAAAGTCTATGGTTTTCTCTGATTTTCTTAGTTGTTCCCTAACGTCCTTTCTCCATTCCAGGATCCTATCCAGGACACTTAACTTTGCCGAACTAAAAAGAAATGTTTGCATCACTACTTATAAATGAAAAGCTAGTGTTTTCTAATTCATACTAAAACAGACTATTAAGATATTCACAATACCGCAAGCAAGTAAACCTTTTGTTGAAACGTGACATTTGGGGGAATCTGTTACCGCCCTTTAGTCTAACCAGCGTAAACCTGTGTTTTGATATATCCCTGTGCCACTAAAACCACCTCCTGTTCCACCTGCAGTACATTACACACCGACTTTGGGAAGTTATTGACCCATTTTTTAACAGAAGGGATTGAGGCCCTGAGTGGTGGTGCTGGTTAAGACCCAGGAGGTGATAGTTCACTACATCAAAGGTTAAGAGCACGTAGGTAGGACAGGTGTTACCTAGGGCTTTGGTAGCAGAAAAAGGAGCAGCTGAGACACACCAGGTCCTCCAGGTCACCTGGAGGCAGTAGTGGACCAGAGCACCCATCCCAGCTCTTCTGTGGCTGGGGAATCGCGGGGAAGTTGAGAATGCTTTGCAGGAGCCTCATTGGTTCACTGGGCAGGGCCTGCTCTCCCACACAGCTGGACACCACACACCACAGTAACAGCTAGAGAATCTGGGTAAAAGATATATAGAAGTTCTTTGTACTATTTTTTAAATATATATATATATATTTTATTGTTTTTTTTACAGAGAGGAAGGGAGAGGGAGAGTTAGAAACATCCATCAGCTGCCTCCTGCACACTCCCTACTGGGGATGTGCCCATAACCAAGGTACATGCCCTTGACCGGAATCGAACCTGGGACCCTTGAGTCCACAGGCTGATGCTCTATCCACTGAGCCAAACCGGTTAGGGCATCTTTGTACTACTCTTGCAACTGTTTTCTAAGTATGACATCAAAATAAAGTTTTTAAAAGACACTAAAGGGGTCCTCTGCCAGTGTGTTGAATATATCCTCTTTGATCTCATCCCTGTTAACAATGTACAATAAGTCAGGGCCACAGGCAGAGACCTTCCTCCAGGACGTCTACAGTTAGCCAGCACCCGGAGGTTAAGATTATGCCACAAACTGCAAGTCTTATTAAGGGTACGATTCTAGCCCACAGCCTCCCTTTCTTCAAAGAGGACAGCAGGAGACCTTATGGCAGGACACTTGGTGAGATCAAGATATCCACTGTGGATTTATTAGTAAACAAATGGTTTTTTAGAACTATAAAAAAATAAATACGATTCCATTATTCTGCAAGTGTTTACCCCCGAATAGCCCTGCCAAGGAAAGAAGGTGCAGTTCATGAACTATGACTCATTCTACATACACTGCCTGCGTCAGGCACTGTGCTAGCTGCTTTCAGGAGACTAGTTCAAGTGGAACAAGGACCCTCTTGAGCCTTTCAACACACCAGCGCCTTATATACAGAAATGTGCTTTTCAGCCTCTGCGAATGCACCGCCTACATTTAGTGAGGTTACACCTGTTGTCACCCAGGACGAGTACCTGCCATCCTAGACTCTTCCCTATCGATACCACTGCTCTGTGAGTCACTGAAGACAGGCTGCTTCCTCTGAGACAGAGGTTGTTCAGAGGCCTGGTCACATGCTGTGACCCAATCATTCCTGGAAATTCCAAGTGACAGCCCCTCAGAATCTAAAAAACATGCATGAAAACACATTCTACCCTATAAGCACATTAGTTCTTTTCCCAGAGGCAGATCAGGAATGCAGAGTCACATACTTGATTTTCACAACAGGTTAGATCAGGAAACACAAGCGGCATTTAGATTGCCTGCTCACACCTCTGCAGGAGACAACATATGCTACAAATGCCCACTACCTAGGATCAGACACGAATGAGACAAACCGGAGAAGAGCATGAAAAATACACACTGTAGGCGTGGCCTCGCTCAGAAGGGGCTCTCATAGCAGCATCCCAGAGCTCGAAGAAATACAAGGACCGCCTGTCAAGTGAGTCATCTAGGACTCATTTCCACCCTCTTCCCTGATGGATGGCCCAGCTGCTGCATAGACTTCCCCCTTTCTCATTTTCAGAGATGAATTCTGTCTTCCTTCCTTCACTGCTCCTCGCTCCCCAGCACTGAGCACCACAAACTTTAGCTGCTCCCAGAAAAGCCTTGAAGATCTGAGTCTGAATGTTAGCCACATACCCAAGCCTCCATATCACATTCCCATTCCTCACAGCACCCCTCAGGACACTGACTTCTCCATCTCCCCTGGGGCAGACAGAATCCATTCCCATCTCCTTCAAGTATGCCTTTCTGTAACTAGAAGCTGGAGAGCTGAAACCTATTTTCAAGACTCCCCTGCTGTTAGGATTCTGGATGCAAATTAGGTTCCTACATAAGCACTCACAGAAGGAAGCAACATGGAAAGCAGCTTCTTGATCTTTTGGTTACTTGTGCTGACCAGCAAGGGGGTGGGAATGTGGGTATTAAAAGCGTGGGTGGCTGAACTCGGTGTCCAGTCACAGCTTCATGAATTCAAGCAGTTGTGGGGTGGAGTGGTTTCTTGATGCCTGGATGGCAACCCAGCAGTGTGTTCTGAACTGAGCACTTCTGATGGCAACCTCCTGATTCCCACTCCTGCACCCCTCTAACAACTTTACAGCTTACCCATGTATTCAGCTCCTTTCTTCTTAAGATCATGTGGTACAATTTGTTTTCTGGGAGATCTTTTGGCTCTGGCTTCCCAAGCCCCACCTCCCACATCGCCACATGTGAAACAACACAAGAACCATCTGCCATTTATAATCACAGCAACACTGAAGGAGGGAGACAAAGTCCAATATGGTGGTCACTTTATGTTTTTGCTTAAGACAAGCATGACTGAGAGGCTGGCTTGTGGCTTCATACCCATGCCAGAGCAAGGCTTCTTTTCCCCCTTTTAAAAAATGAAAATGGAAATGAACAGAGGAAGTGGCTGTTGTGTGGCCAAGCTTCTGTCTGGAAAGCACACCTCTACGTGAGTCTCCTCCGCTTTGACTGGCGGTCCAAGGTCTGCGCTGGAGGCAGCGGGATGCACAGAGTACCCAGTCTGTGCTCCTCCTCCCCGCCGGCTGCCAGAGACACCTTTCGCTTAGAGATCTTCAGCCTCATGGCCTTTGCTATCTCGAGCATCCTGAGGAACACACACAAAACAAATGGAGTCTCCTCAAAGTCACTGCTCAGGGAGGGGGGCAGGGAGCAGCAGATTGGTGCTCCAGGCTATGAAGACAGATCCCCAAAGTGACCCCCACGAGAGGCAGATGAGATCCCCTGAGAGTCTTCAAACGGACAATTTCATTTTCCTGTGTGGCCCTTAGAAAATACCTTATAGGTGATTACAACCCAGGTTCTCTATCTCGCTCCTGTTAATAAACTTGGTTTACTGCCTACAACCAGGATTGAACACTTGCTAGAAGTGTGCTAAAACAGCCCCTAAGTACCTTCTGATTTGCACCATCGCTGCGGGTGAGAATGCAACACCAGTGGACAGCCCTCGGAATAATCCCTCTGTGGACTGCTAGGCCCAGGCAGGTGTTCACAGGCTCTCCTGAACATCAGGGTCCTTGGGGGTCAGATGCCCCTACAGGTTCCATCATTCGGAATCCTGCTTCTACTCGGCCTGAATCCCTTCTGAAAGGTCATCTCTGCCAACTCTCCCAGTCCAGTAAGAGCAGCCCCAGTGTGACATTCTGCCAAACAGCGGCCCCACCACCTGGCAGCCCCTCCATCTGACTCTGAGAAAGGTCTTTTTGCTAAGATGAAATTGGGTTCTTGTAACTTCCACCCCTGGGTTCCACCCTCAGGACCATACAGAATCTCCCAGAGAAAGGTATGTGGAGACCGGAGGCTGCCTGGTTACATAGGGACAGAATGCCGTGGGTGGGCTCAGGTCTGAAGCCCAACAATTCCCCTTCCGGGTTGTGTGACCTCATCTATTACAATCATTCATTCACTGACAACTGTCCTCTAGTCCCAGATCTTTTCCCTACTAAAGTCCCCAGTTCTCCTGCTGGAGCCCCGTGCTTTCCAGCAGTACTAGGAATACAGCAAGGCACCCTAACGAGCTTTCTGTTCTGTGTGCTCACCTTTTCTCACTGAGCTTCAGGTCCCTCTGTAACAACGTCAGGTCAATCTGGAAGTCGTTTATATGCAAGGCGAGTACGATCACATACGCAATGATCTTTGCCTTCATGGAATCGGAAATTAAGTTGCGTAAACTGCAAAATCAGTGACAATAAAAGAGACCAAAAATTAAACTCGAAGATGGTTTCTCCAAAAGCAAAATAAAACCATCCAGACCCGTTCCCATAGGTACTTAATGTCTTCCCCATCTTGGGGAGAAGAAATGAATTCGAGCGACTCCTTGTCCTTCAAGGTGCCCAAGAGAACAGTGAGCCAATCCCAGTGCTCCCTCCAAGGGGGACAGAGAAGGCCACACCTACCACCCCAAGCACAGTGAGAGACCCTCGCGTCTGCCTGCCTGCTCGGCAGAGCTGCCAGGAAAGTAGTCAGCCACACTCAGTTGCTGACGATTCTTCCAAGCACACTCAGAGCAGGAAACACGTTCCAAGCAAACTGCCGGGGGGAAACCCAGGTGCACTGCTTGGGGATCCTTCCCAAAATCACCACATAGGCCTATCATCTCCTGCAACACTGCCTGTCCAAGAACACCAGTTCTTGGGACATTAGGAAGGGTTCCCTGAAAGGAGTGTGTCAAGTGAAGCCAGTCTTTGTTGCTGGGCATCCCCCGGGGACGTGAACTTCTCCAAGGGGAGGAGGGGACGTGCTGTATAGTCTTTACTAAACCTACTTGACCCCAGGACCACCCCAAATGGCAGTGCTCTCCTCAGCACAGTAGCTCTGTGGATGTGGCCTTCACCCAAGCTCCCACTCCCCACTCTCCCCACCCTCCCAGTCTGTTCTCTCCTTTACTGGCAGAAGCCAAATAGGTCACCTCACCCCCCTGACCTGCCATTGTTGTAGGTCACGCAGGTGAAGTGCTTCAGCAGTTTGGTGGTGATGATGTGTGGAATTCCAGGTCCCAGGGCACCTACAACACAAAGGAGTTGGATCATTTTCTGTCAGGACCTTCAGGCCACATACCCTCCATGAGCTGGGAGAAGAAGCCAACAGTTCGCCAGTGTTATTAACAAAGCCATGTGGCAAGAGAAGCAGGGCCCCCAAAACAAAATGGCCACCTTCCAATGAAAATATGCTCCTGTCAAATGAAACTGCCCGAGAGACCTTTGTGAAGGGGCAACAACAAGAAAGAAAAATGAGGCCTAAAGACACAGAATTCATAAAATGTAAACAAAGTAGATGGTAGGGAAAGCCCAGGGAGAGGGAAAGCAGGGGAAATTGGAATGTGAACATAAGAATTAACCGAGTACCGAAAAACAGACAGACACTCCGATGCCCAATCACAGAAGTAAAACTGCACACACCTTGTACCTAAAAGCCCACTGCCTTTCCTACTCTGGATGGATGGATGTGGCAGCCATGGCTCTAGCTGTAGGGGACACTGGGGTTACAGGTACATTTCTCTCCTCTCCCAGTCAGAAATAAGCTGACACAACACAAATCAGTCATAAGCCTTCATGAGCAAGGCCAATTTCACCCTCTTTGACTGATGTTTGTCTAACAGTCCCTTATAATTTCACTTGATATCATAGTATATTTTGCCTCATGCAGAACAGAGGTGAATGTCAGTTCTGAACAATCACATAACCTCTCCTGCCCCCATGTGGAGATGAAGAGCCTGCAGAGTCCTCTCAGCATGTCAGTCGTACCAATAGGAATCTCACTGACACCGTTAAAAATAAACACCCAACCCACATTCCCATTTTCTTCTGGCCTACGAATTATAGGCAAATAACAAATTGGAAACAACTAAAATCAAACGTCTAACGCGGACTCACTTTTCCGCTTAATCACTTTCTGTGCTCGGAACTTGATGAGTGTGTCCAGAAACCATATGCACCGGGCCTGGCGGTCTCGGCTCTCCTCATTTGATGGCAAGGACTTCAACGCTTCTATGACAAAGGAGCAGTGGCTAAAACAAGGGAGGGGAGGAGAGAATGTGTGCTGTAAGACGGGCTCTGTCACCCCTCACACCTGGTACCCCTCACATATACTCTCAGGCCAGCACTTGGGCTCCCCAGAGACAATCAAAGCCAAGCATAACATTGGGGGACACAGTCCATCTCGAGCTCCCAGCCCAACGATAAGGCTTCGCCACCCTCTGCGCAGCCACAGGTTCCATGCACTCAAAGGGCAACTCTCTCCCTTGAATGCCATCCACAGCCTTGGGACTACCGGTCTAGAAGCCCCAACATTCTTGAAAACACTGGCTCGTTCATGTTCAAATGCTGAACACACACTGATCCTCAACGATTGATACCCAAAGGGCTGCCTCATGTCTGACTACTGCTGTGTCCCAACATCACTCCCTCAGACACTCCATCCGCCCAAGTCAGCGTACCTGTTCTCTTCGATCATCTTCAGTATTTCTTCTGATGTGACATTCCTGAAAGCTTCAGATGGGCTCCGAAGAGCTTCATACTCCGCAGGGGAAAGAACCAGTTACTGGTCAAGAGCACAATCTGACCAAGATGGAAACATCTGACGAGCTAGATCATCTTCTAGAGGCCTCATTTTAGAGGTGGGAAAGCTGAGGCTCAGAGAGGGGAAGATCATACAGCACTCAGGGCAGAGCTCAGGGACTCAGCTCTCCAGGCTCCCAGCCCAGACCTCAATCCCTGTCTGGGCTTTCCTGCCTTCTCATCACAAAGCCACTGTAAGCATTTTCCATCTCATTGGACCCACAAGTAGGGGAATTTTACATTTCAATCCTTCCTTTTACAAAACCAGTCTGCCCTAGACTTTGGGCATTGGCTGACTTAAAGTCATATTTGGACTATTCAGAGTGATCCCCACAGGGCTGAGCTGTGGATGTTCGGCATTTTGCTGAAGAATGGGTCTGAATCCCAAGGGCCAAGGAGCTGATTTGGAGCAGGACCCTCAGCTAGTCAGGAAGCATAGCTGACTTCCCAGCAACAGCACTGGGCAACTGCAAAGGTCAGGATGTAGCTTCTGTGAATGACATGAGACCACTGACCCCTCAGAGAGCCTGGCTGTGCCATCACATGCGCACACGCTAACTTGTGAAATAAGGTAGCATTTCCACCAGAAGAAGGATACGGTCTTCAAATTTGTACACATCTTCAGGCTTGGCTGCATCCGCGTGGCAGGGAGGAAGGCAGAGGGAGTCGTCTTGCAAGTTATCGTGGAGGGCATCATTGACCAGAGCTTTTCAGTAAAGGAAGAGTCAGTGTGAGTATCACCCTGTTAAGCATCAGATTCCCCAACACGCTCTGCAACCTGTGCACACAGGATCATAACCAGCCCAGAAATCTCTAATCTGAATGCTCCCGCCAATGAGGCCAGGTCTCCCATCAGGCTGACAGCTCCAGCACCACGATGTCTACTCATGACACAAACCAAACTGGGCCCTAGAGAAGGTGCATCCACGTGGTATCCCCTCAAGTAACTTGCAGGACAGTCAGGAGAGAGGTGAGCTAATAAATATTTACAACACAACACGAGAAACTAAAAGTGAGGGATAGTAAAAAAAAAAAAAAAAAAAAAAGCCCTTAATGGCTTAACTTCCAGAAAATTTCTCTACATACTATGAAAAAAAATTCAAATTCTAAAACTGTAACTACCACACAGAAATAACCATGTAAAAATTAAGTATGCATATAGACAGAGAGGAAAACAGGAAAATTGTAACAGTTATTCTGGTAGAATGACGAGAAAATAGGTGAATTATTTTTCTTTTTAAATCTCCTTAAATAGCTGAAAGTAAACTGAACAAAAATTTACTTAGACATTAAAATATGTCGTTGAATGAACAGAGGGACATATTTCTGTATTCCTGGATGAGAAGATATAATATTGTAAAGATGTTGATTCTCCCCATATTAATCCCAACTGTATTTTGAAGGAACTTGACAAAAGAATCTTTAAGATTGCCTGGAAGAAAAAGCCTGCTCCAGCAACTAAGACGTTTGTGAAAAATAAGGAGGTGGGGGAGGATGAATCTGCCCTGTCAGACAATAAACTGATGAGGAGGCCACTATAATCGAGTGCCCACTGGAATGCTGGGACAAAACACAACTCAGAATGTGGCAAATGATAAACTTGACTTTTAATTTAGGGCACGGTGGCGGCAGGCGGCGGGCTGGCAGCAGGGAGCTCGATGCTTCCACAGCTCAGGGAGCGTTGCAGGCGAACAGCCTTAAATTCTCTTTTGCAAAGAAAGGATGGAGTTGGGGACTAGCTAATCATTTGGAAAACATAAAATTAGGTCTGTACCATATGCCCAAAAAAGTATTCTTCATTAAGCTTTAGACGCAAAAATAAAATTATGAAAGTATGAACAAAAACATGGAAAATATTTCTATTATTATAGGGTATGGAAAGATTTTCCAAAAATTACTGAAATTCCATTTTAATAGAAAAACTGTTCTTATGTAAACTTTCTCTTATGTTCGTATAATGTATTTGAACAATAAATATATATTTTAAATAATACAATTAAATATTCAAGCTTCTAAGGAATTTAGTAGAAAAAAACCCACTGACCCCAAAGTGAAACACTGTCTCCAGAGGCTCAGTTCACCATCACACCAGCCTTACTGACCAATACAGACTTGAAGCCCTCTCTCTCCTCTGTGCCCTGCAGGCTGTAACCCGGGCACCAAGGAACAGTGTGCACATGCCCATTCCCTGGCCTGTCTCCTCTCCAGGACTGTGAGCTCACTGAGAGCAAACCACATCAGATGTTTCTTAGTACCTCCTGAGTTGGTTCCCGCAACGGCCCTCAGCGAGAGACAGGAAGAAATCCAGCCCTAACCCCCATCATTTCCATCTACTGGGGCGGGTAAAAGATCTCAAGAGAAGAGAAAACTGTCTCTGTGAGCAGATTCTTACCCCAAGTTCCAGATGCTTACCGGTCACACCCTTTGTATCAATAATACTCTCTGCGGCTTTAGCTACTGCACGATTCAAAGATTCATTGCCAACTCTGTTCATTCTCCTGGAGTTCAGAGCCCGCTTCTGTTTGGTGGTACCGAAGGCTTCAATGCAAGAGTCCATCTGTGCAAGAGACAAATTTGATCACTGGCGTCAGGCTAGGCACTGCTCCTCCTAGCTATGTGACTATCGGAAACTGTCAGCCTCTCTGAGCCTATAAATTGGGCTGAATTATAGCTGTTACAAGAATCAAATGATAGCAACAGATCTGAAGAGCTTGCTTTGCACTAGTAAATAGGAATGGGCCATATACAAATCAACAGCCTTCATCTGTAAAATGTAAAGACTTGCCCTGGCCAGTGTGGCTCAGTTGGTTGAGCACCGCCCCATGCACTGAAAAGTCACTGGTTTGATGCCCAGTCAGGGCACATATTCAGGTTGTGGGTTCTTTTCCTAGTTGGGCTTTGTACTGAAGGCAGCCAATTGATGTTTCTCTTTCTTTCTCTCCTTTCCTCTCTAAAATTCAATAATATATATATATATATATATATATATATATATATATATATATATATTTTAATGTAAAGATTTGACTAGAATTAGGGTTGATAAATCTGTGGCATGCAGTTTAACATTTTCCCAATCCTACACCCATAACAGCTATTGCTAACAGAGCTCTCACTCTTTCCCTCTGAGCCAGAAGATAGCCTCACACCCCTTCTCAATACAGTAATACAGTGCTCCAGGCAGCACTGCAAATGCAATCAATTTGCCATCTTGAGGCGAGATGAGCTTTTTAGGAACATTCTACATTGAAAATCCTAAGATTTACTTTGGTTTAATATGAAAATATCCAGGCTACAATCAATATTCTCTGAAACTTGTATTAAATTTTAAACATGTGTTATGCTACACCTCTATCAGCTCAGAGAACCAGTTCAAAACATTGATTGGTACAGAACCATGTATAGCTACCCCATATAGGTGGACTGCTCCCTATGAGGCTGATGAGGCTTGTGCAGGTATAAAATTATCCAGACAACCCCAGAATGAATGAGCTGGGAGCAGCGAGGGAACACTGTGTTCAACCAGCTCATTTTACTGATGGAGAAATCCTTACCCAGGGCCTAACTTGCTTAACATCCCACGTCTCAGATCCATCACACTTACCTTATCTCTAAAGGTTTTGCTCTCACTCTCTGGTGTCAATTCACTCTCCACTGATTCATCTATCAAAACACAAAACAAACAAAAACAGGGGGGAAAGCAAACTGAAAGATTTTCTATCTGAAAGGCCTACAGATAGCAATAGTGCTTGGTATTCATTTGTTTAACAGTTCATCTAAGAAAAACAGATTTCTTTACCCCAGGACTTCCCAGAGCTTAACATGAGTGTATACTGAACATTTAGTATATAGCTTTAGTATACACTTAGGAAATCTGGAGAATTAAGGAGTCAAATGAAGGGGCCATTTGGTCCAGCCTCTTCAATAAGGAAAAATTAGGCCTCCAAATTAAATGGCATGCCCCAGGTCAATATGCTGGATATAATAAACCAATATTTACAATTTCTTACTTACAAAATAAAAATTTGTTTAATCAACAAGTTAATGAATAACTTTCTTTGTGTCTTTAAAAGAAAAGCATTTGGATATTTTAAATATAGTTACAGTTGTTTGCAAAGCAAGGAATTCTTAACCTAGAGACTATGGTCCCCTAGGAAACTCACAGATGGGCTTTGGAACTCAAGAGCATCATCCAAAAAGTTGCCAGCTCAATTCCGGTCAGGGCACATACCTAGATTGCAGGTTCAATCCCCAATTGGGGCATGTGTGTTTGGCAACCAATCAATGTATCTCTCTCACATCAATGTCTCCCTCCCTCCCCCTCGCTCCCTCCCCTCCTTCCCTTCCACTCTCTCTAAAAATCAATGGAAAAAATATCCTCCAATGAGGATAACCAAAAACTTGTTCAAATAAAAAACAAAACGAACAGAAAGGCACCCTTTAAAAAATAACTATAAAATGTTTTAAAATAAAAAACTCAAACCAATGCATCCAGCAAACCTAAAGCATGCAGCATTTCTTTGAGCCCTGACTGGGACCTACCTGAAAACAGTGGCTGCATGTTGAATAATTCAGCATCATATACTTCCATTTGGCCAGAGGTCTTGTTCAAAATTCCCACAAAGTGTCTGGGGGAGAAAAAGCGACAGGTGATTCTGGTAGCTGATCACATTTGGGCTCACTGCTGCAGTGGAAAGCCCTTTTGGGATGTAAGAATGCAGAATTACACTAGAATTTACAGCACACATAAATTTTATGGAGGCAAAGACAAGTAAAGCCTTGGTGATTGTGGGAAGCAGACTAGTCTGAACTGGAGAATCTTTGTGAAGGGATGATGCAGTGTTAACAGTTTTAAGCATATACTCATTAACCTGACTTCTACCAGGGTGGTTCAATGGGGCTCTGAAAGGGCCTTGTTTGTGATTTACTGCTGTGTACCGTCACAGGGACACTGTCTGCATTATGGCAGCCCCAGCCAGTTATAGACTGTTCAGGCTGGGCAATCGTCATTGTAGGGGAGTGGGGGGCATGGGGCAGGGAGAGAATTGGAATCAATGAAGGGCAAACTTTCCCAAAGGCAGCCAATCAGCAGCAGGCAGTGCTAGACAGAAACCCCAGAGCCTTTGACACTACCAAATCCTTTTCCCATAGTTAGTCCTAAAGCAAATTTTTGTCAATAATTATCATATATTTTATATTAGCTAAGACAGCTGCCTTTTGGAAACAAGATTATAAATACGTCCTGGGGAAGTAATGTACAGTATGGTGACTGTAGTTCATACTGTATTGTACATTTGAAAGTTAAGAGAATAAATCTTAAAAGTTCTCATCACAAGAAAAAAAATTTGTAACTATGTGTGGTGAATGGATGTTAACTAGACTTATTTAAGTGACCATTTCATTATATATATATATATATATATATATATATATATATATATATATATATAATCATTATGTTGTATACCTGAAACTAATATGTCAATTATATCATAATTGTTTTAAAAAAATTTAAGAATACTACAAATAAGTGAGGTTTCTAGGAAATTCAACAAATGCAAGTCAACTTTCTTTTCAAGAACGTCTACATAAAAAAAAATAAATAAGTAACGAACGTCTACATGCTGGTGTGAGGGCCCCTGGGCCTGGGAACACAGAAACTTGGTAAACCTCTCTAGGCCTCCCACTGCCCTTAAAGGCTGAGAACCACAGTGCCAGAGCCACTGTCACTCCCCTCCCCTCCCCTCCCCTTCTAGCTGCCCCGTCCCCTGTCCCTACCTGCACAGAGTGTTGCATTTGAGTGCTCCAGTCCCAAAATTGGTTCCCACGTAGGAAAGTCTGTCTGTTTCAGCTGCCTAAAATGCAGAGAGAAGCTCCATTACAACCAATGTTGAAAGGTATTAAGCATCTTACCTCTTTCCCACATTTGCCAAAAGCTTTAGAGTCCAAACAGTGGATTAGAACTAGAGACTCTCTGAGAGACGATCGGGCCCCACCATCGCTCAGTAAATCTGGGTGCCCGTGCGGGAAAGACAAGAGGACTTTAGGAAAGGAAGCCCCAGACAGTGCTGGTTTCCAGTTGGTCTGGAAAGTTCTTGGGGAATCTGCACCACAGGACTTGGGAGAGAGGCCTTGGGCTCCCCTCACTCACAGACATGCAATCAAATGATCCTGCAGGCAACCTCCAGGGTTGGAAGTCCAAGCCCTTCTTACACCTATTTGCCCACCTCTCCCACGATTGCTCCTTTTATGGTCTTACTAGTAGGACCATGGAAATGGCCGATTCACTCCTCAAATACAGCCAAGCTTTGCTGTTTCTCTATGTTCATCCTTGTTATCTGCTTCACCTAGAATACTAAGCCTCGGCTGTCAAACCCTCCTCCATCCTTCAGAGCTCAGCTCCATGTACCCTCCCCAGGAAGACATTCTGGCAAGCAGAGACTTAGACTCTGCCTTGTACCTTCCCTCCCTCGGGCCCTGAGCTTTGTCTACTTGCATGAGTGCCCCTCGCATCCAGTTCTCACCTCTCTAGAGTTCTCTATACCATGCTTGGTAAAATCTCAAAGAACTCTCTAGAGCAGTGGTTCTCAACCCAAGGAAATCCCCCTTCCAGGGGCATCTGGGAATGTCTGACATTCTGGTTGTCACAACTAGGGGGTGCTATTGACATACAGTGGGTAGAGGCCAGGGAAGTTACTAAACATCCTATGATGCACAGGGCTGCCCCCACAACAAAGAATTACCTGGGTCAACATGTCAATATCGCCAGGGTTGAGAAACCCACAGAGTGGGGCCAGGTCTGTTTTAGCTGTTTCCCTAGCAGCTTAGGGCCCAGGGCCACAGAAGGTGCTCAATAAATGCTGCTGAATGAACTTATGAATGAAAGGCCATCAGTTCACCAAAAGTACGAAACTGAATGGAGCCTGCCTCACACCCCAACCTGCTGAGGCTCAGAAGAGTTCTTTAAAGGCACCTTTGCTATCTCCCCCCTTTCTCCTCTCACTCACTCTCACATCCACCACACCCAGGAGGCCTACGGAGGCCTGCAGAGCGGAGGCAATTGGCCACTGCAGCACTCACCAGGATCCGCTGGCTCTTCTTCCTGGGATTGGTGGAGTCCTTGTTCTTGTACAAGCTAAAGCGCATGTTATCTGGATTCTGCAGCTTCCCATTGGAGAACTGAACTGTAAGGTCACAGCCCAAGAATGAGATGCGATCAGAAAGAATCACGCTGCAGAATGGGGAGGAGGAACTGGGCTGTGAGTGGGAAGGAGTGATGGGAGGGTGAGGATGGCAAGGTCCCGACCGGAAGTGGGACTGAAGGAGCCCCTGGTCCACGGGGGAGAGGGGCTGCGGAGGTGAGGGGAGTGTGGAGGGGCTGCGACATGAGGGAATAACTAGGGGAAGGGGCAGACTGAGGCGGCCTCGTCCAGGCCTAGAGAAACGGGGGGTATCCCTGCCCAGTGGAGATGAGGAAATGGAGCAGTTCTAAGACCTGGTGAATGAGGGCATGGCAAAATCCTGGGTAAATCCCTTGGGGAGGGCGTTGACTGGGATGTCCTCATCCAGGTATAAGATGGAAACAGAAAGATGGTGGGATGACGCGGGAGCGCTGGCCGAGACCAAAGTAGCGGTGGGCACTAAGGCAGGGGATGGGGGGCAGTGGGTGAGGGGTAGGGGATGGGGGTTTGGGGGAAGAGTCTTGGCCCAGCTGGGAAAGGGGCCGGCGGGAGGGCTCTGAAGGTACCGAGACGGAAAGGGGAGTCATGGGGGGCTCTGCTCCAGCTCCGCAGTCTTTACCCAGGACAGCTCTCTGGCTTTCGTCGGGCTCCCCACAGTACAGCCACTTCGCGCTCGGCAACACCTCCGCCGCCATGGCCCCTCTCCGGTCGCCAAGCCCAGGAGTTAAAGCCACTAGCGCGTCTGCCACACGCGGAGGCAGCGCGGTGGGCCGGAAGAGGCGGGACGTCGCCGGCCGCGTGGCCCCGCCCCCACAAGGCCCCGCCCCCTCCGCACTCTGCTCAGAACGGGGAGGTGCGCCATTCCCGCCCCGCCCATCATTCTCCCCGCCCCTCAGCGCGAAGTGGCGTCGTGTCCACTTAGTGCATCGCCCTAGCCTTGGCCTGCCTCTCCGAGGCGCTACACCTGATCGACCCAACATCCGCCTGCACCTTTAAGAGTTGTGGGGGACAAGGGTCCGACACTCCTAAAGTCTTGCAGTTTCTACCCAATAGTCATGTGGGGTTTCTTCTTGCTCAGCACGGACTAGATAGGGTATGATCTGCCTCTCCTATGGTGACAAGTATATCTTACCAAAACCTGAAAGGTCAAGTTCAAATTTCGAATTCTCTGACAGGCACACCTTGAGCCCCAACTAAATGTGGCAGCTGGCAGACAGCAGTTGCTCTCCAGGGCCTCCACACACACCTGTGGACATCCGTCCGTAAATCCAAGCTTCATCCACAATGGTGCAAACAGCTCCCAGTCATGGTCATTCCTCAGGCCTAGGCATGCATACATCTGGGGCCCAATCAACCCTTTAAGGATGGACCCAGAGAGAGGCCTACCAGGCTCAAAGTTTTTAGAGAGAGTGGAAGAGAGAGGGAAAGACAGAGAGAAATATCGATGTGAGGGAAATATCGTGCCCTTGACAGGAATGGAACCTAGGATCCTTTGGTCCGCAGGCCAATGCTCTATCCACTGAGCCAAACCGGCTAGGGCCATAATTTCCTTTTGAGATGGTTCATTTTAAGCATATAGAAATGCAACTGATTTCTGTGTGTTGACTTTGTCGCCTGGTACTTGCTGAATTTTACTAGTTCGAACAGATTTTTGTAAAATCTTTAGGGTTTTCTAAATATAGGATCCTATCATGTGCAAAAAGATATTACTTCTTTCTTTCCAATGTGGATGCCTTTTATTCTCTTTCTTGACCAACTGCTCTAGCTAGAAATTCTGTAAAATAGAAGTTGTGAAAGTGGGCATCCCTTTTAAAAAATATTTATAATTTTATTGCTTTCAGAGAGGAAGGGAGAGGGAGAGATAGAAACATCAATGTTGAGAATCATTGATCAGCTGCCTCTTGCACACCCCCTACTAGGGATCGACCCACAACCTGGGCATGTGCCCTTGACCAGAATCAAACCTGAGACCCTTCAGTCCACAGGCCAATGCTCTATCCACTGAGCCAAACAAGCCAGGGCTGAAAGTGGGCATCCTTTTCTTGTTTCTGATCTTAATGGAAAGGCTTCAAGACTTTCTCTATTGAATATAATATTTGCTGTGGATTTTCATATATAGTTTTGTGGGGTTTTTTTAGGTGGAGGTAGATTCCTTCTATTCCTTGTTTGTTGAGTGTGTGGTCTTTCTTTTTTTTAAGGGTTTTGAATTTTGTCAAATACTGTGTGCATTAATTGAGATGATCATGGGTTTTTTTCCCCTTCATTCTTTTAACATGGTATATCGATCAATTTTTAAAAAAATGTTTTTATTGACTTCAGAGAGGGAGAGGGAGAGATAGAAATATCAATGATGAGAGAAAATCATTGATCAGCTGTCTTCTGCACACCTCCACTGGGGATTGAGCCTGCAACCCAGGAATCAAACAGTGACCTCTTGGTTCATAGGTCAATGCTCAACCACTGAACCACACCGCCGGGCTCGATCAATTTTTATGTATTGAACTATCCTTGCATTCCAGGGATAAATCCTACTTTGTCATTAGTAATGAAGGAGCCATAAAATGCATATATTATTTTTTTGGTAATCCTCTGTTGATGCACATTCAGCTTTTTCTTTTTCTTTTTTTCTATTAACAAAGCTGTGATCAACAACCTCCTATATATTTTCCCACATTTGTGTATTTCACCTAGGTTAATTTGTGCATTTCAGAATACATTTCTAGAAAGTTATTCCAGTTAGGAGGGAATGAATTCATATTTAAAATTTTGACATTATCAAGTTATCTTCAAAGGCAGTGTCATTGGTACTTCCATCAACAATATAGGAGACGGCCTATAGTACTCCTAAGTACTGAATATACAAATCTTTGCTAGGTTGTAAATTTGGGAAAATGTCTAGCTCACACCATTTTTGTAAGGGTCACATGTGAAAAGACCTCTCACACCACCCGGCTTATTGTCAGCATTCTCTTATCTTTTTCTTCTACTGCCCAATGTGGCAATAAAATATCTGTAAGGGCTATACAATGTCAGGGAATGTTAGAGAACAGAATTGACCATCAGACTTCATTGAAGCTTTAAAGAAAGAAACCCCAAATGGTAATACTTCCAACCTATAACGTCTGTACAGATGCATCAGCTCTAATAATATTTTAGTGTTAAGTTCTGAGGCAGTGAGATATTTAAAAGTGTACACCTTCCCTTCCTCTAGAAACCCGAGGTGTTCCCCAGCCTGCCCTTGTCTTTGGATCCAAGCCGAGCTCCCGGACAGGAGCTCCCTGTCCAGTCTCCCTTCAGGGCTCGGACCCTCCCTCCGAGGGTGCACCTGGGATCTCGGGGGCTTGCTCTGTTCTGACAGCGTCCCACGAAAGCACGCTATCATTCCACGTGTCTAATTTTGTGGGTTTTTTGGAGGAAGTTGGTTTTGGAGATTGTAGGCTTCTACGACCTACGGCACGAAATGTGAAGCATGTGTGAGTAGGAAGCCCAGCCCCGTCAGTCCTCCGGCGCCAGAGCTGCGAGAAGCCACCCCAGTCTCTCCCCCCTCGCACTGGATTTGGGGTGCTGTCGGGCCCAACTGCGATAGCGTTGGTTCAACGTTTGCAGCCTAGATTTCGGCTAATTCAACCTAAACACCTTCTTGGAATTTTATTTTTTCCAAAGTCTACAACGTGAGAGATCAACTTCTGACCGCTGTGTGTGTGGCTCCGGCGAAGCGCACTCTTCTAACAGGGAGCCGGCTGGTCTCGGAAGGGCCGGCGCTGGGGGAGTGGAAAAATCCTTCACCCGCGAAAGGTGGAACAAACCTTGAGCAGTCGCGATTGTGATTGGTGGAAAGAGACAGAACGCCCTCTCGCCTCAACCACAATGGGTCTTGATTGGTTGTGACACACATTAGCTTTTCTATAACCAAACCTAAAGCCGCTCAGTGGTGAATCCCGCCTTAAAGGCGTTTGATACCAGTGTTACGTGTTGTAAGGAAAACGGTGATTGGCCACAGCGCTCGCGGATTCGGTCAGTAGTAAACACAGCGAGACTCCTGGGACCAGGGATTGGCCAATGTCCCGGAGCCTAGGAAATTCTTCCGGATTCCGCGCGCTGGTTGGCTGCTCTCCTGTTCCGTCCCCGCCCCTCTCTTGCTGATTGGTTGCAGTTCGGCCCGAGGGGAGGAGGTGGAGTAGGCGATGTAGCATTGCGTCACTTCCGTTTACTGTCGGCCGCCGCCGCGGTGTTATCCGAGTAAGGCGGCCAACGGGCTGTGGGAGCTGGGGAACGAGAGGCGGGGTGGGCGGGGAGGGTGGGCGGAAGGGGTAGGAAATCCCATCACGGAGACGCCAGCCTGGACGTTCCCGCCTCCTCCGACACTGTCGAGTCGGGTCGGAGAAGGGTCATTGCTTTCTCCAGCGAGGAGGGGGGCGGAGCCCGACTCAGGTGAGGAGACCCTGTCAGTGCGAGTGGTGGGAGCTCCGCGCGCGGGCGCGCTCAGGTGGAGACGGTTGGGCACCAGGAGCGCTGGGCTGGCGGCCTCAGCTGGGTCGCGACCAAGCATGTGGGGAGCGCGCAGACGCGTCCCGCTGCCCCCCGCCTGCCCTGCCCGTCTTTCTGAGGGGGTATTGTTACCCTTCCTAGCGGAGGGGTCGGGAGGATGGGAGGCGGGTTCTGCGCAGGCGTCCCCGTGTCCTGACGCCAGGCTGTCTGTCTGCGGGATTGGGCGGAGGCTCTTGCCCCCTCGGATCTGCGGGCGGAGAGGTTGGTTACCGGGTTGGGGCGGGAGAGGTCTCCGGACCGACAGCCTCGGACCTGCTGCCTGGGCTCATCCTGGGCCTCCTTGAGCGACACTGTTTCATTTCGCCACCGCCAGGCCAGCGCGGTCTGGAGCCGGGACCTGGCGCTGGCCCGGAGGGTGGAGCCAGGGTTGGGGAATGGCCCACGCTGTTGCCGGAGGACTCCAGTGCGTGTGGGCATTCCTTGGATGCCCACTGCGTCCAGGCTTGGTGAGAACGGCCGTTCCACCTCCTCCCCTGGCAGATTCGCACGTAAATACATCAGACGGGGAATGAAGGGGGCGTTGAAGATCAGGGTTTTTTCCTTCCAAAAAAGGTCAATTGTTAGTAAGTCAGTCTGCCTTCTGTCATAGTGGACGGTACTGTAGAAACGAACTTCTGAAAGGTACACAGGTTCTAGTTAGAAGGAAAATTCCTAGGTAAAGGCAAAGAAAAGTCTTGATTACTAAGTAGTATGCTCAAGTTCTGGCTAATTTGAATGACTAGAGAAGGAAGAAATCCTTCGCATTCAAGAATTAAACAGGAATCTTTCCAAAGTAGATTTACAATTGTGAGTAACGCGGAACAGAGGTTTTTTTTCTGTATTATTTATTAATTAGAGGCCCGGTGCATGAGTTGGCGCCCGGGTGGGGCCCCTAGGCCTGGCCCCTTGGGGCGTCTTGCCCAGTCCTGATGGGGGGGAGGGGGGGAGGGGGGAGAGCACTGACCACCAGGGGGCAGCTCCTACCTTGAGCGTCTTCCCCCTGGTGGTCAGTGCACGTCATAGCTTCCAGCCGGTTGTCCCTCAGGTCTTAAGGGTGGCTTAGGCTATTATATATATAGATTATTGTATTATTTTTCCATACTAACACCTGTAAACTTACATTTGCCCCAAACTACTTTTCAGTTGTAGTAAATAGAAGATACTACATACATTGGGATCTTCCTTTAGAGGTTGAAGTGAATGCTGTGCCTTCCTCATCATTGATGATTTGTTATCTTTTGGATGGGCTTTTGT